AGATAACGAAAGGACGCTTCATCAGCATCTAGCCATCGACCAACACACTTGCCCTTCTCACCTGCCTCGCCAGCACCAGCTCCTGTGTTGACTGCAGCGCCTGGTGCTGCTGACTCAGTGCAGTAGCAGTGAGATCTACTCACCCACACCCACCCATCGACCAACACACTTGCCCTTCTCACCTGCCTCGCCAGCACCAGCTCCTGTGTTGAGTGCGGTGCCGGGTCGCTGCTGACTCGCCCCAGCCCTTGCTCCTCGCCCTGTGCTGCCACCACCCCAGCAGCAGCAGCAGTGGCAGCAGCAGCAGCAGTGGCAGCAGCAGCCACCACCACATCTGCACCTGCCTCTCTTACCTGTCTCGCCAGCACCAGCTCTTGTGTAGACTGTGGCCCCTGGCGCTGCTGAATCGCCCCAGCCCTTGCTCCTCGCCCTGTGTAAACATCGAGAGGTAAACTTCCTTTTCACACTCTTACCTGTCTCGCCAGCACCAGCTCCTGTGTAGACTGTGGCCCCTGGCGCTGCTGACTCAGTGCAGTAGCAGTGAGATCTACTCACCACACCCACCCATCGACCAACACACTTGCCCTTCTCACCTGCCTCGCCAGCACCAGCTCCTGTGTTGAGTGCGGTGCCGGTCGCGCTGCTGACTCGCCCCAGCCCTTGCTCCTCGCCCTGTGCTGCCACCAACCCCAGCAGCAGCAGCAGTGGCAGCAGCAGCACCACCACCATCTGCACCTGCCTCTCTTACCTGTCTCGCCAGCACCAGCTCTTGTGTAGACTGTGGCCCCTGGCGCTGCTGAATCGCCCCAGCCCTTGCTCCTCGCCCTGTGTAAACATCGAGAGGGGTAAACTTCCTTTTCACACTCTTACCTGTCTCGCCAGCACCAGCTCCTGTGTAGACTGTGCCCCTGGCGCTGCTGACTCAGTGCAGTAGCAGTGAGATCTACTCCCCACACCCACCCATCGACCAAACACACTTGCCCTTCCACCTGTCTCGCCAGCAGCAGCTCCTGTGTAGACTGCGGCCCCTGGCGCAGCTGACTCAGAAAAGCACCTGCCTTGCCTTGCCATGCTCTCACGCTTACCTGTCTCGCCAGCACCAGCTCCTGTGTAGACTGCGGTCCCTGGCGCAGCGCTGACTCGCCCCAGCCCTTGCTCCTCGCCCTGTGCTCCCACCAGCCCCAGCAGCAGCAGCAGCAGTAGCAGCAGCAGCAGCACCACCGTCACCACCGTCAGCAGATGAGAATGATGCATGCTTTGCTGCCTTGCGCAAAAGGTGCTTTGACGTGCCACCACCACTGCCGCTGCGGTTGTCACTGCCACCAGTCATCCCAGCCGTACTTCCCCTACTCGCCTGAGAGGCGCCTTGGTTGGAGTGGTCAGTCTGGTGATAAGCAAGGAAAGGGAGGAGCAGAGAGGGGCTGAGGTGGCTAATCTGGTGATAAGCAAGGGAAGGGAGGAACAGAGAGGGGTTGGGGTGGTCAGTCTGGTGATAAGCAAGGGAAGGGAGGAAGGTAGCGAGGCTGGGAACACGACACTGCCACCAGTCAGCCCTCCCGTTCCTCTCCCCACTCGCACTGAGAGGCGCCTTGGTTGGGGTGGCCAGTCTGGTGATAAGCAAGGAAAGGGAGGAGCAGAGAGGGGTTGAGGTGGCCAGTCTGGTGATAAGCAAGGGAAGGGAGGAACAGAGAGGGGTTGAGGTGGCCAGTCTGGTGATAAGCAAGGGAAGGGAGGAGCAGAGAGGGGTTGAGGTGGCCAGTCTGTGTGATGAAGCAAGGGAAGGAGGAGCAGAGAGGGGTTGGGGTGGCCAGTCTGGTGATAAGCAAGGGAAGGGAGGAGCAGAGAGGGGTTGAGGTGGCCAGTCTGGTGATAAGCAAGGGAAGGGAGGAACAGAGAGGGGTTGAGGTGGCCAGTCTGGTGATAAGCAAGGAAAGGGAGGAACAGAGAGGGGTTGAGGTGGCCAGTCTGGTGATAAGCAAGGGAAGGGAGGAGCAGAGAGGGGTTGAGGTGGCCAGTCTGGTGATAAGCAAGGGAAGGGAGGAACAGAGAGGGGTTGAGGTGCCAGTCTGGTGATAAGCAAGGGAAGGGAGGAGCAGAGAGAGGGGTTGAGGTGGCAAGTCTGGTGATAAGCAAGGGAAGGGAGGAACAGAGAGGGGTTGAGGTGGCCAGTCTGGTGATAAGCAAGGGAAGGGAGGAGCAGAGAGGGGTTGAGGTGGCCAGTCTGGTGATAAGCAAGGGAAGGGAGGAAGGTAGCGAGGCTGGGAACACGACACTGCCACCAGTCAGCCCTCCCGTTCCTCCCCCACTCGCACTGAGAGGCGCCTTGGTTGGGGTGGCCAGTCTGGTGATAAGCAAGGAAAGGGAGGAGCAGAGAGGGGTTGAGGTGGCCAGTCTGGTGATAAGCAAGGAAGGGAGGAACAGAGAGGGGTTGGGGTGGTCAGTCTGGTGATAAGCAAGGGAAGGGAGGAAGGTAGCGAGGCTGGGAGCACGACACTGCCACCAGTCAGCCCTCCCGTTCCTCCCCCACTCGCACTGAGAGGCGCCTTGGTTGGGGTGGCCAGTCTGGTGATAAGCAAGGAAAGGGAGGAGCAGAGAGGGGTTGGGGTGGCCAGTCTGGTGATAAGCAAGGAAAGGGAGGAGCAGAGAGGGGTTGAGGTGGCCAGTCTGGTGATAAGCAAGGGAAGGGAGGAGCAGAGAGGGGTTGAGGTGGCCAGTCTGGTGATAGTAAGCACGCAAGGGTGGGGAAGGAAGAGAGAGGTTGGGAACACGAGTGCTGTCGACACTGCCACCAGTCATCCCTTCCCTTTCTCCCCCACTCGCACTGAGAGGCGCCTTTTGAGTTGGGAAGGAAGAGACAAGGATGATAACTTGTGAGAAGCCCCCAATGCACTTGTCCTAGTCTTGTCCCTTCGTCCTCCACTCCACATCTCTCCACACACACTCCCTCCACCTCTCTCCACACACACTCCCTCCACCTCTCTCCACACACACTCCCTCCGAATCTCCTCCGCCTTCCTCCCTACAGCACTCTGCAGCAGCACCACCACACCAACCTTCCCTGAAACCCAAACTTTCCACACACAAACAGACTCAACTCCACTTACCCCAGTGACCAGTCTTGTGCCTTCCTCCTCCACATCCGTTCCCATCACATTCTCTCTTTACCTCCTCCACCTTCCTCACCACAGCACCCTGCAACCCAAACTTTCCACGCACAAACAGACTCTCCTCCACTCCACTTACCCCCAGTGACCAGTCTTGTGCCTTCCTCCTCCACATCCGTTCCCACACATTTCTCTCTTTACCTCCTCCACCTTCCCCCCTACAGCATCCCAACTACCCTTCACCCTCATCCTAATGCACTTACCCCAGTCTCGTTCCCTCCTCCTCCAAATCAGTCCACGCACACTCCCTCCGAATCTCCTCAGCTTCCTCTCCACGGCACCCTGCAGCACCACGTACCTACCCCCTGGAACCACTGCATATCCCCCACTTACCCTAATCTCGTTCCTTCTTCCTCCACATCTGTCCCTGCACACTCCCTCCTTATCTCCTCCGCCTTCCTCTCCACAGCACCCTGCAGCACCGCCACCAACCCCTCCGGATGAAGCCTCGCGCGTTCTAAAAAGCCTCTCACCGGCAGCTCGCTCCATTCTATAGGCGCCAGATCAGCCAAGCCTCCAGGGAAAGAGAGGAGAAAAGAGTCGGCGGGGGTAGCAGGAGCAGCAGAGGCGGCAGAAGTACCAGCAGTAGCTGCTGCTATGCTGTTCCTACCTGCTGCTGCTGCCCGTTGCAGCGTTAGCAGCAGCAGGCACATTACTATTAGCAGCATGAGAGGGATAAATTGTAACTGCTGCAAGGGAGGAAATGGCACTCGTGTGTTGGCCTGGCTGGGGGCAGCAGCAGCACCAGCACCAGCAGCGGCACCAGCAGCAACAGCAGCAGTAGCAGAGGCACCAGCAGCAGCAGCAGCGGTAGCAGCGGCACCAGCAGCAGCACCAGCAGCAGCACCAGTAGCCGTACCAGCAGCAGCAGCAGGGGGGGAGTGAATGGCATCAGACAGCCGCGCCTGCAGAAACATCTGCAGGAGAGAAAGAGCCTCATCCGTTTCAGCAGCCGTGGGGAGAGAAGCTGCAGGCTCCGCTGCTGCTGCTGCTGCTGCTGCTGCTACTGCGGTTCCTGCTGCTGCTGTGGCTGTTGTTGTGGCTGCTGCCGGTGCTGCTGCCATTCCTGCTGTTCTGGATCCTCGTGTTGTAGCAGCAGAAGCGGCAAGAGCAGGTGAAATGCGAGCCTTGCAGTCACTCAGGCCATGGTTCCCAGCCCCCAGGTACGCCCGGAATCCGTTGATTTGCAGCGAATGCGCGTGAAGCACTGCCGCCCTCGCCCTGCCAGTTGTATGGGGTTACAGTGTTACAAATGAGGAAAAATCGTGAGACTTGAAGTCACAAAGACCCCGGTTCCCAGGCCTCCAGGTAGGTTCCGAAGCCGTTGACTTGCAGCGAATGCGCGTCAAGCACCGCCGCCCTCGCCCTGCCAGTTGTATGGGGTTACAGTGTTACAAATGAGCAGAAATTGTGAGACTTGAAGTCACAAAGATCCCATTGACGCTCGGAAGCCATTGACTTGCAACGGATGAGCGTGAAGCACCGCTGCCCTCGCCCTGCCACGTGTGTTACAGTGTTACAGTGTTGTGCAACAAGAGGAACACACATTTGAGCATTCTCAAAAAGCTGACTTCCGAGTAGACTCAAATATCGCGGAGTTACAGTGTTGCACATGAGGAGCAAAACATTTTAAAGCATTCTCAAAACTTTCCTCGCCCTTCAACAGGCGTGCTACGGGGTTTCAGAGCTGCGCATCACAAAGAAAACCATGTGGGAAAACGGGAGGTGCGACCAGCATCGCACAGCAATTAATTCACTCACAACACACACCTTATCGACGAAGCCTCCTCGTCCATCTGCGTGCTCTGCGCTGACAGCGATTCGACATCGCGCGCTTTAACGTGCACGGATCGCTCACAACACACACCTCACAGCCGAAGCCTGCTTGTCCATGGCTGTGCTCTGCGCGGACAGCGACTCGACATCGCGCGCCTTCGAGTGCACCGATCGTTCCGGCGACACTACCGCCTGCTGCTCCTGCTGCTGTCTTCGTTCTACTGTTTGAGTCACTACTGTCTGCTGCTGCTGTCTTTTCCCGCATTGCTTCATCCCTCCCACAGAAACCTCACCTTATCGCTGAGGCCTGCTCGTCCATCTGCGTGCTCTGCGCTGACAGCGACTCCACATCGCGCGCTTTAGCATGCACAGATCGCTCGAGCGACACCACCGCCTGCTGCTCCCGCTGCAGTCGCTCCCGCCGCTTGCGCCTTCCGCTCGCGCGCATCCCTCTCCCGCTCCTCCTGCGCCCGCTCCTGCTCTCGTCGTTCGCGCAGTTCCCGCTCCGCCGCCTGCTCCGCGGTCTCCGGGGGTAGCCTTTCCCCCGAACCCAGATTTCCGCCAGCAGTTGCGCGGCTGGGCCCGCTTCCCCTGGATCCGACCCCGCGTTGCGCTTGCGGGGGAACAGATCCGCGCGGATACGCCCCGCGGGAAGGCTGGGATGCGGCTGTGTAGGTTTGTCTGCGAATTCTCGGATCCGCCATGTTACAGGCTAAGACTAAAAAGCTGATACGAACCTACTACTCTTGGATCATACAGCGCGAAGACGGTGGGAAAGACGAAATAGTTCAGGATTCGTTCACCGCATGTTAGCCTCAGATCAAGCTCCTCAAGTTGCCTTGAGTTTATTTTGCGTTGCTGAGTGCTTGTCAAATGCTTAGAGTCTGGGAATTCTTCTGACATGGCCCTAAGCCGAGGGGAGTGGGGGAGGGCAGGGCATGCAGGGCTTGTGATGAGAGTATCGAGCTTACGAACAATAATGATTTCGTGATGCGGGAAGCGAAGCTGCACATCTTCGCATTTTCTGCGGCTCGGCATTTTCAAGGGCCAGTTACAGACGTTGTTTCTGGCGGAATCCAGTTGAGTGGGATGGAACTTGTAACCCCCAACCAGGCGAACCTAAAGAAGTTCGCGAGGCTGATATTGGTTTCAAAAATTGCACACTTTACTCGGTTCTGTGAGGTATGTGCTGTTTCAAACCGGTTGGAAGTTAAATTCATGTGAGTTACTATTGAGGCAATGTTTCAGCAGTATCCAAGCATGGCCTCCTAATTTCAAGAGGGTTCTAAAGTGGGACAAGGAACTGTGCTGAGAATTGTTTGAGATAGGTACATCCTACGACCAGTCCCTTAGTCAGGTCCTTGTACTCGAGCATGGTAGCGCATGGTATTGCAAACGGCGATGCGTTTTCGCATGAACGTTTAGCTGACTGAAGGGTAGCGTAAAGGCGACGTCGTACGACAGATGCGCTTCGAAGCTAGGCTCGTCCCGCGTCGCGTCCTCGTGTCGATCCGTGAAGCAGTCGAAACGTCGTCGCTCTTCACGTTATTGCATGCCACTTCCATCGTTCCAATAACGAATATAACGACTATCCTACGACTTCCATCAACGTACCCCTCGTTTCCTAGCATGGCTACTCGTCCACTCACATTCCGACCGTTACAATCACTTCTTCCACGTGGGCCAGAACCCCCTCTACTTTCACCCTCGATAAAGGATAATCCCAATATTTTCAAGACCGTCACCTCGTTAGGAGCCGCAGCAGCAAGGTTTAGAGTAAAGGCTCTCATTGACCTGTCGGTAAGTAGTATTACTGGCAGCACGAGAAGCAGTATCTTTTCGCGAGGTGCTGTTACCAGCAGCTGCATTGCAAGCACCACGTGGCGTCATCCCATTTGTCCTGGTCCGCTCCGCGACAGCCAGACTGCCGCCCTTCACAGCGCACATTCTTCGACGGCGGAACCCTCTAAGGAAGCTTCTTCTACGGAACTCTCATCTCCAGACAATGCCAATACCCTCTCCCCTTCCTCTGTCCAAATCCTGTCCACTCCAACGCGTGTAGTACCTGAACGGCTATCTAGCAATGTCCAAACCGCAGAAGAATCTCAGCCGTTGGATCTAGATGATCCAAGGGTCCTGGCGTGCTGTGAACCGCTAAGTGCCAGTGGGAACTCGCAGGAGCAGCAGCGGCCGCTGCGGGTGGCCGTGCTGCTAAGTGGCGGTGTGGATAGCAGTGTGGCGCTTAGGCTGCTGCACGCAGCAGGGCACAAATGCGAGGCGTTTTACTTGAAGATCTGGTTCCAAGAGGACTTTGAGAACTTCTGGTCGCAGTGCCCCTGGGAGGACGATTTGGCCGTGGCTCAGGCCGTGTGTGACGAGGTGGGTAGCACTAAGCTTATAACGAGGATAACCTGGCCGTGGCACAGCCTCACATGTGGTTCCAGGAGGACTTTGAAAACTTCTGGTCGCAGCGCCCCTGGGAGGATGACCTGGCCGTGGCGCAGGCTGTTTGTGATGAGGTGAGTGTTTTTCCACTGCACACCCACACCCACCCACACACGGGTACACAGCCGCACACACAGCCGCACACACACACACACACACACACCCACACACACCCACACCCACACCCACACCACACAACCACACCCACCCACCAGACACACTCGCACATGTGGTTCCAGGAGGACTTTGAGATGTTCTGGTCGCAGCGCCCCTGGGAGGATGACCTGGCCGTGGCGCAGGCTGTTTGTGATGAGGTGAGACTCTGTCTAACACACACCAACAAACCAAGTGGAAGCTTCATCACCCCCCTCTATCTGCACCGCACTCCACCCCTCCCTCCAGATTAACGTTCCGCTGCACATAGTGCATCTCACAGACGCCTACTGGCAGCGCGAGGTGGCGCACTGTGCCACTGAGTGGGGGCTTCATTCATCTCTCTCCCTCCATCTGCACCGCACTGCACCCCCTCCCTGCAGATTAACATCCCGCTGCACATAGTGCATCTCACAGACGCCTACTGGCAGCGCGTGGTGACGCACTGTGTGGGAGAAATCCGCAGCGGCCGCACTCCCAACCCCGACATGCTCTGCAACTCGCGCATCAAGTTTGGTGCGTCCTCCATTTTAAAACCAGTAAAATGTTCTGTGTTTGGATGTCTTTTCAGTCTAGTCAAAACCCAACCCCGACATGCTCTGCAACTAGTGTGTCAAGTTTGGTATACTCTAAATCCATCCTGAACACATTCAAAAGCCACTTTGAAATCATCTGGAAACAACTAAAAAGTGATCAAGAATCCACCCTAAAGCCGTCCTAGAAATGTCATGAACCATCCTTAAAAAAAAAAAAAAAAAATTACAAATCATCCAGTATTCGGTCTAAAACCTTCAAGAAACCATCTTACAACCATCTTAACCCCCCCCGACTCCGAATTTCTGTCTTGGCTGTGCTCTCTCAAAATTCCAGAGTTGTAATATGTTCTGATTTGCGTATCCACAGTTGGGTACCTGATGATGGTGGATGGATGGGTGGGTGACTCCTAAAGCATTAGGGCGTGTTCCTACTTGCCTGATAGAGTGCGCGAAGGGTGAGTTTACACGAATATTAGTGTGGTGCAAAGTGAGTCTGATAAGAGGTTGCCTGAAAAAGGGCCATAGAAACACGCCCTTAGTTTGGTGTGAGATGCTTGTGCGTGGTGCACAAGGCACGTGCTTGCTTCCCAGTTGCAAGCCTCACCGTTGTGTTGTGTGCTGTATGCCCTTTTGTGTCTGCGCTATATCGGGACATCAGCGATGGCTAGACAACTTCACCAGTCTCCCCTCTGGGAGGTGCTAGACCTCGGTCTCTGCCTTGCTCCTCCAGGTGCTAGACCTCTGTCTCTGCCTTGCTCCTCCAGGTGCTAGACCTCTGTCTCTGCCTTGCTCCTCCAGGTGCCTTTTACGATCACCTTGACTCACTCAACGCCTTCGTCCACGTGGCATCAGGCCATTACGCTCCTTGCTAATATAATAACCGCGACGCCCCCGTTCTCTCTTCCCCCTGACTTCCACACCCCTCCAGGCGCCTTCTACAATCACCTCGACTTCACTCATTTCGACCGCGTGGCATCGGGGCATTACGCCCCTTACTAGTGGCCATTGCAACCCTATACATTCTTCCGTTCACCTTTGCTCTCCTCCAGGTGCCTTTTACGATCACCTCGACTTCACTCATTTCGACCGCGTTGCATTGGGGCATTACGCCCCTTACTAGTGGCCATTGCAACCCTATACATTCTTCCGTTCACTTTTGCTCTCCTCCAGGTGCCTTTTACGATCACCTCGACTTCACTCATTTCGACCGCGTGGCATCGGGGCATTACACCCCTTACTAGTGGCCATTGCAACCCTATACATTCTTCCGTTCACCTTTGCTCTCCTCCAGGTGCCTTTTACGATCACCTCGACTTCACTCATTTCGACCGCGTTGCATCGGGGCATTACGCCCCTTACTAGTGGCCATTGCAACCCTATACATTCTTCCGTTCACTTTTGCTCTCCTCCAGGTGCCTTTTACGATCACCTCGACTTCACTCATTTCGACCGCGTGGCATCGGGGCATTACGCCCCTTACTAGTGGCCATTGCAACCCTATACATTCTTCCGTTCACCTTTGCTCTCCTCCAGGTGCCTTTTACGATCACCTCGACTTCACTCATTTCGACCGCGTTGCATCGGGATATTACGCCCCTTACTAGTGGCCATTGCAACCCTATACATTCTTCCGTTCACCTTTGCTCTCCTCCAGGTGCCTTTTACGATCACCTCGACTTCACTCATTTCGACCGCGTGGCATCGGGGCATTACGCCCCTTACTAGTGGCCATTGCAACCCTATACATTCTTCCGTTCACCTTTGCTCTCCTCCAGGTGCCTTTTACGATCACCTCGACTTCACTCATTTCGACCGCGTTGCATCGGGGCATTACGCCCGAGTTATCCGCTCACCACCACCTGGCCGATCTCACCCCGGCGAGAGTGTTGCTGTGCGCCTGGTCCTGTCTGCAGATGAGGTGAGATATCATCTGAGGCGCCTCAAAACACTTTACTCGTTTGACTGTGTGGCATCGGGGCACTATGCCCGCGTTGTCCCCTCGCTAACTGACCCGTCTCAACCGGGCCAGTCTGCTGCTGCTGTGCGCCTGGTCCTGTCAGCAGACGAGGTGTGTCTGAGGGATCTCAAAGCAATTAATTTAGTCCTGTCTGATGAATATGCTGGCCGGTACCCCGGTTGACCCCTAGCATATTCATTCAATCTAGCAGATTCCTTGAACTAGCACCGTGCAATACAAAAGGTTCTCACTGTCTCACTGTCACGGCGGTCGCCGCTAGTTCAAGGAACCGCCGCTACAAAAGGTTGGTGTGAAGGTGTGGCGACCGCCGTGACTTCACTTATTTCTCTTTCCTTGATCCCTCCCTGCATAGTCTCTGCCACACTGTCTCTGCTCCTTCCTCCTTCCTCTTCTTCTTTCCACTTCATTTTACTCTTTCTACTCCCTTACATGCTCGCGGTTTTAACGCCAGGTGAAGGATCAGACCTACTTCCTCTCGCACCTATCGCAGCAGCAGCTCTCTCGAGTCATGTTTCCCCTTGGAGCCCTCACCAAGGTACGCTCCTCACCAAGGTACGCTCCTCACCAAGGTACGCTCCGCTCAACCTGCCACTTGCCACGTGTCACCCTGTCAACCCGCCCCATGCCACGTGTCACCTTGTTAATTTGCTCCATGCCACGTGTCACCCTTTCAACCCGCCCCATGCCACGCGTCACCCACGCCTTCCCATGTGCAGTCCCAGGTGCGACAGCTGGCAGCGGCGTTCAACCTGCCCAACCAGAGCCGGAAGGACTCCCAGGGGATCTGCTTCCTGGGGAAGGTACGGCCTGGGGAAGGTACGGCCTGGGGAAGGTACGGCCTGGGGAAGGTACGGCCTGGGGAAGGTACAGCCTGGGGAAGGTACGGCCTGGGGAAGGTACGGCCTGGGAAAGTTACGGCCTGGGGAAGGTACGGCCTGGGGAAGGTACGGCCTGGGGAAGGTACGGCCTGGGGAAGGTACGGCCTGGGGAAGGTACGGCCTGGGGAAGGTACGGCCTGGGGAAGGTACGGCCTGGGAAGGTACGGCCTGGGGAAGGTACGGCCTGGGGAAGGTACAGCCTGGGGAAGGTACGGCCTGGGGAAGGTACGGCCTGGGGAGGGTACGGCCTGGGGAGGGTACGGCCTGGGGAAGGTACGGCCTGGGGAAGGTACGGCCTGGGGAAGGTACGGCCTGGGGAAGGTACGACCTGGGGAAGGTACGGCCTGGGGAAGGTACGGCCTGGGGAAGGTACGGCCTGGGGAAGGTACGACCTGGGGAAGGTACGGCCTGGGGAAGGTACGACCTGGGGAAGGTAGAGCCCTTGCGATAGCTTGCAACCCTGTCCAGTCAAACAGAGCCGAAAGAACTCTCAGGGAATCTGCTTCCTGGGGAAGGATTGATTTAGCCCACTCTCCCCACTCGTTCCTACTCTTGTATCAAATTGCCCAAGCGCCTGTCTACCCTTGTACCTATCCTGTTTTTGTGTCACCGTTCATGTGTACCTACCCTTGTACCTACTCTGTTTCCATTCATGTGTCTGTGTCACCAGGTGAAGTTCCCTGAGTTTGTGGCGCGGCATGTGGGCGAGCAGGAGGGACTGCTGGTGGATGCGGAGAGCGGGGAGACCACATGTTCCTGCTCTTGTACCGAATTGCACACCTGCCTGTCTACCCTTGTACCTATCCTGCTTTTGTATCCCAGGTGAAGTTCCCTGAGTTCGTGGTGCGGCATGTGGGCGAGCAGGAGGGGTTGCTGGTGGAGCCAGAGAGTGGGGATGCGACTTGTTTCACACCCACTTGTTCCTACTCTTGTACCGAATTGCACACCTGCCTGTCTACCCTTGTACCTATCCTGTTTTTGTATCCCAGGTGAAGTTCCCTGAGTTCGTGGCGCGGCATGTGGGCGAGCAGGAGGGGCTGCTGGTGGAGGCGGAGAGCGGGGAGGCCCTGGGCGCGCACAGAGGCTTCTGGTTCTTCACCATCGGGCAGCGGCAAGGCATCAAGCTGTCTGGGGGACCGTGGTGAGTGAGGGAATGGCGAGACGGATGTTGAGAGAGACGCCTGGCTGCGCACACGCAGAGAGCGGGGAGGCCCTGGGGGTGCACAGAGGCTTCTGGCTCTTCACCATCGGGCTGCGGCAAGGCATCAAGCTGTCTGGAGGGCCGTGGTGAGTAAGGGAGGGAGTGTGTGGTTCACTCACCCCTCTGACTGTCGTTCATTCATCTCACATGCGCACACAGCACAGGGAGGCCCTGGGCGTGCACACAGAGGGGGGAGGCCCTGGGGTCACACACTGGCTTCTGGTTCTTCACCATCGGGAAGCAGCGGCAAGGCATCAAGCTGTCTGGGGGACCATGGTGAGTGAGTGCTGCTGCTGCTGTGTGCATGCCATTCTTTAGTTCATTCACCACCACCAGCCCCCACCCCCCCCACACACACACATAGTGGGGAGGCCCTGGGGGTGCACAGGGGCTTCTGGCTCTTCACCATCGGGCAGCGGCAGGGCATCCAGCTGTCTGGGGGGCCGTGGTGAGCGAGGGAGGGTGTGTGTATCGTTTATTCACCCCTCTCACACGCGCACACAGCACAGGGAGGCCCTGGAGGTGCACAGGGGTTTCTGGTCCTTGACCATTGGGCAGTGACAAGGCATCAAGCTGTCTGGGGGACCGTGGTGAGCACGGGCTGCTGTGTGTGCCGTTGATGGTGTTTGCTCTAATCTAAGCTCACAGTACAGTGAAACCCAGGGCACGTGCAGGGGCTTGTTTGAGGCGCCTCTAAACCCAGGGCACGTGCAGGGACTTGTTTTGAGGCGCCTCTAAACCCAGGGCACGTGCAGGGGCTTGTTTTGAGGCGCCTCTAAACCCAGGGCACGTGCAGGGACTTGTTTTGAGGCGCCTCTAAACCCAGGGCACGTGCAGGGGCTTGTTTTGAGGCGCCTCTAAACCCTGGGCACGTGCAGCGGCTTGTTGCCTGGGGCCGCCAACACGGTCTTTCTCTCGCACAACTACCTGTCACCAGCCATTTCTCGCTGACAGGTATTCACACTTGTTCTAATCTCACATAACCCGCATCTCTCTTCTTTCCCCTCTTTGTCCCACCTGCCCCCCTCACCAGGTACGTTGTTGCCAAAGACACGGCCACTAACACAGTCTTTGTATCCCGTGACTACCACTCACGCAGTTCTGTTATCCGTTGCCCCATTCCCCCTCTCCCCTCCCCCCCCCCCCCTCACCAGGTACGTTGTTGCCAAAGACACGGCCACTAACACAGTCTTTGTATCCTGCGACTACCACTCACGCAGTTCTGTTATCCGTTGCCCCATTCGCCCTCTCCCCTCCCTTCCCCCCCTCACCAGGTACGTTGTTGCCAAAGACACGGCCACTAACACAGTCTTCGTATCCCGCGACTACCACTCGCCAGCCAAGTCCCGGCGGCAGTTCTGGGTGGGCGGGTTCAGCTGGACGCAGGGAGGGGAATGCACCCCTCCTTTGAGTGAACGGCCAAATCTGACGTGCAAGGTGAGGCTCTCGAAAGCCCCAGCAGATCAGGGAACAAGCAGGCGACTCCCACTCACCTGCTAAATCTCGCCGGCAGGTTTGGGTGGGCGGGTTCAGCTGGACGCAGGGAGGGGCGTGCGCCCCTCCTTTGAGCGACAGCCCAACCTCACTTGCAAGGTGAGAGCAGGGAGCAAGGCAGCACCCACCCACCACACTAGTCCACCAAGTCTCGCCTGCAGTTGTGGGTGGGCGGGTTCAGCTGGACTCAGGGTGGCGAGTGCACCCGTCCTTTGAGTGAACGGCCAAATCTGACGTGCAAGGTGAGAGCAAGCAAGCAAGCAGTGTGAGAGCAGGGAGCAAGGCAGCACCCACCCACCCACCACACTCGCCCACCAAGTCTCGCCGGCAGTTCTGGGTGGGCGGGTTCAGCTGGACGCAGGGAGGGGAGTGCAGCCCTGCTTTGAATGGTCGACCCAATTTCATTTGTAAGTGCAGTGGTGGGCAGGCAATTCCTCCCTCCACATGTATGAGAAGCAAGGTAAGAGCAAGTGCCCGCTTGCGCGCATGAAAGGGTGTGCGTGCACACACGCAACCATGTCCTTTCATGAACATGAAATACCACGTTTTTATTCTTCCTCCATTCCCCCTTTCCCACCACCGACCCAACCTCCCCCCCCCCCCAATCCCCGCCTTCCCACTCCCCTCCTCTGGTCTCTTCCTCCAGGTCCACCATGGCCCCCAGTTCTACCCCTGTTCTTCAATGGGCGTCTGCTCCTGTCCCCATTTGTGCCCGTTCCCCCCCCCTTCTTTCCCCACTATACCCCCCCTCTCTCCAGGTCCGCCACGGCCCCCAGTTCTACCCCTGCTCTGTACAGTTTGCTGAACTGCCAGCGTCCATGCGTCCCGATGGAATGAACCTTCCGCCAGCAGAAACAGGATCAGCAGTAGAGGAAGCAGCAGCAGTGGAGGCAGGAGCAGAAGTAGAGGCAGAAGCAGCAACATTGGCAGAAGCAGAAGCAAAAGCAGCAGAAGCAGAAGCAAAAGCAGCAGAAGCAGCAAGAGAAGGAGAGGCAGCAGCAGTGGCAGCGCTGGTGACCCTCTCCCAGGACGATCAGGGCCTGGCTGCCGGCCAGTTTGCCAGGCAGGTAGCAGCAGGAAGGGCAGCAGCAGGAGAAACCGCAGCGCTGGTGACCCTCTCCCAGGACGATCAGGGCCTGGCTGCGGGCCAGTTTGCCGCCTTCTATGATGGCGTCACGTGCCTCGGGTCGGGCGTCATCATTGGCGTGCCGCCCGGGGACGACAGTGCGGGCGGCATGAGTGGCGACAGCAGCAGCAGCACAGTGCAGGACCAGCAGAGACCTGAGCAGGGGCTAGGTTCTGAAGCAGAGGAGGGGCAGGAGAAGAGGAAGGGACCTGTGTCAGCTGCAGCGTGGGAGACGGCAAGGCGAGGGCTGGCAGGGGTGAGGATTGGTAAGCTGAAACCACCCAAGACTGTGGAGAAAGGGAGTGGGAAGGTGGGGGGTGAGGGAGTGAGAGAGGAGGGGATGGGGAAAGGAAGGGGGGAGGGGAATGAGGTGGGGAGTGGTGAGAAGAGGAAGAGGAGGAGGGAGAGAGCAAGTCGAGGGAGGCCTGAGGCGCAGCTAGGCCAACAAGACCTTGAAGTGCAGGCAAGTGCTGGTGATTGCCAACCAGCAGAAATGGTCACAAAACGACATTAGCTGAATAAAAGAAAATGATTCTGGTAATTTTGTGTTTCGTGTTTGTTTATGCGATTTTGTAGTCCGATGTTTGGATCATGACGTGAAATAAGGTTTTTTCCAGGCCAACCTAAGAGATTGGTGATGAGTTCATCCTATAAGCACTATATTATTTGCGTGTATGAACTGCTAATATCGCGTATTTCCGGACTTCCCAGAGGTCGCCTTCCTTTGGCGTGTCAGAACCGCGTCGCGTCTCTCAAGCAGATGTCAGATCGACATATCTTTCACTTCTTGCCTGCTTCTTGTTCCAATCAAGTCAATCAGATGTACGCAGGTATTTATGTCCTAGTTTCCATCCCGAAGTGAGATACTGCTGAGGAGTAAGCACACACTTTCAAGCCGTTCTGCTTGGTAAAAGGGAAAGCTTAAGTAAGGTGAATGGAGTGACCCAATATTTCAGGCCGTTCTCCTCTTTCCGCGTTTCCATGTCGTTTGAGCCGTGTATCAACCGCGAGCCTCTTTGAGATGAACCGTCGAAATTTAGAAAAGCGCGAATTGATATAGTCGTATAATCTTAGCTCATACCTGCAGTTGGTTCTACTCCTAGTAATAGCTGAAGAGACGACGGATAGTCTTGCGTGAGAAACTTGCGATCGTGCGTCTGTACGCATTTAGATCCCCTCCTTGTTTCCACATCCTGCATGCTGTGAAGTCTTTTCATGCTGCACACCCTTGGGTTTTAGGTGTATATATTCAGTTCTTGAGGCGTTCCGAAGACTCGTTACATTGTCCTACTAGCAGGTGTACATATTGACTTTTACCCTACACAACCTTGGCCTTCTGAATCTGTACTGTCCAGGGTTAAGACTCTAGGGGCCTTCAGCCGTCGTGTAACTTGACAGTGAAGTTACATGTTTAACGAGAGCGATCTTGTAGCGAGTCCATGATCGAGCCGCGTTGAAACGGTTAAGGGAAGGTTTGAACCAGCGGAGTGCGTTGTCACACCAATAAGCAGCCATGGGTTGCTGTATATCGCGTACAAACGGTGCAGGACACCGTCAAGAAACTGCAACGCTTAACGGAGAAGCTAATAACGGAGCAGCGGTCCTGTTTCAACAGCAGGGCAGCACGCGGCAACAGTCCTTAGTAACTCCTTCCCAGAAACTAGTTGGTGCAGTGACAGCAGCACGACCGTCGGAACCATCAGCAGCGTCTGCACCGGCACCTGTAGCAGTACCAGCAGCAGCAGCAGCAACAGCAGCAGGGGCAACAGGGGTAATACCAGCAACAGCACCAGCGGCAGCACCAGCGACAGCAGCGTCTAGCATCCCCAACACCCCCATCGCTGTCTCCTCTTCAGACCCTCCCCCTCTCCCTTTCCCTCTCCCTATGGTGGTTCTAGACGATCCAGTGGAGGAGGCTATAGCGCGTATGAAGGCTGACGACGCCACGCCAGACCCTGCCGCCCTGCTGCTGCAGCGGCCAGAGCTAGGGGATGTTGCCCCGGGAATGGGGGGATTACTGGGTTTAGCCTCTTTCAGGGTTCGCGGGGAGGAGTGGGAGGGAGGTTTGGGGCTGGAAGGGAGGGGAGGAGAGGGGAGTGGGGGGGGAGGGGAGAGCGGAGGGTGATTCTTTTGGAGGTGGCTATAACGAGGATGGGAATGTGATTGATTTGGAAGGGGTGCTGGATGGAGGGGAGGAGGAGGAGGAGGAGGAGGAGGAGGAGGAGGAGGAGGAGGAGGAGGAGGAGGAGGAGGAGGAGGAGGAGGAGGAGGGGGATGAGGGGGGGATTGATATGGGTGATTTTCTAGCGGGGTTAGAAGGGGACGAGAGGGAGGAGGGTGGAGAAAGGGAGGAGGAGGGAGAAGGGGAGGAGGACGAGAGGGAGGAGGGGGAGGAAAGGGGAGAGGGAGGGGGGCGAGTGGGAGGAACTGAGTTGGCGTTGGGGGAGGAGGAGGGGGAGTGGGGCAAGGCGTTGGGAGACGAACTGGAAAGGGGAAGGACGATGGGAAGAGAAACGGAAGAGGGGAGGCTAGAGGCACCAGGGAAGGAAAATGGAGAGCTCGTGGTGGAGAGGGGTGAGATAAGAGAGAGAATCGGTGGTGAGCGATGCAAAGCGGTGGAGGGAGGTGGAGCAGGAGGAGTAGAAGGAAGGGAATATCTAGAACAAGGAGCGAGAGGCAATGGTTTTGAGGTGGAGGGAGGGACATACTCAGCGGAGCAAGAGCAGCAGAGAGGAGGGATTTCAGAAAGGGAGCAGATACAGTCAGAATTACTTCTGAGGCACCATGAAAGTCCCCAGGGAGGGGCATACTCAGCGGAGCAGCAGAGGGATAGGGATGTGCCTTTAGAAGGGGGGCAGAGACAGTCAGAAGAGATGGTGACTTTGGATAGAGATGATTCTCGTGGTGCTTTTACTGGCACTTTGGGGTGTGACAATCATGAGGGTGACAATAGGGAGAGTGACAAAGGGGAGAGTGGTCACGCCTTGGGTGGTGCTAACGGTCACTTGGAGGGTACCTTTCAGCAGCTTAACGAATCAGAGAGGCGGCACTATAACGAGGATGATGTGGATATGGAGGCATTAGAGGAGCTGCTGCAGCTGTGTGCTGATGATGGTGATGGTGATGATGATGGTGATGGTGATGATGGTGGTGATGGTGATGGCGATGATGGTAATGGTGATGGTAATAGTGATGGTCATGGTGATGGTGACAGGGGCACAACTGTCAGGCATGGATTCTCTTCTGAAGCTCCTCAAAACGGCTTTCCAACTGACCTTCAACACGAGCCACTGGTATCAGAGCAGCAGAGACATGACCTGGTGGCTGACCGAAACACAGATTTCCCTCATGTGACCCCCGTTGCTGACCGAAGCACTGATATCCCTCTTGCTAGCAACCACTCCTCTGCTCCTGTGAGCAACACTCCCCTCTCTCCTGAGAGCGATCCCATACAAGCAGCCTCGTTAGCAGCAGAGCGGTCGCTGGCAGCAGTGGCGGGGATAGCAGCGGAGTGCTTGGAGCGGGAGCTGAGTCGGTTTGAGGTGATCTGCCCGCCTAGCGGGGAGCAGCTGGTGGTGCTTTATGTGACGTCTCTTGAAGCCGTCAGGAAGACGCATGCTGACTGCGTGAAGATGCGAGCATTGCTCAAGGTAAGCGGTTTGCCAAATTGATGATGAGCTGAGTCGGTTTTTAGGTGATATGCCCGCCTGGAGGGGAGGAGCTGGTGGTGAAAGCTGTTAGGAAGGCGCACGCTGACTGTGTGAAGATGAGAGCACAGCTCAAGGTAAGTGGCTTGCTCACTGTTATTAGTGTATGGAAGAGGGGCGGGTCAGGGCGGGGGACGTGGCGGTGGTGCTGCATGTGATGTCGCTGGAGGCTGTGAGGAAGGCGCATGCTGACCGTGTGAAGATGCGGTCATTACTCAAGGTGAGTGGCTTGCCGGTGCAAGTGTCTGTTTGAAAGAGAAGCAGAGAGGTGAACTGCCCGCCATGAAGGCACGCAGCCTAGCCTATCTCCATACATCCTACCACTTATCTCCCTTCCAGTCTCTTTGTCCCCCCTCCTTTTTCCAACCTTTCCCCAACCCGTCCGCCACCCTGCCTCCCACCAATCAGAGCCTTCACCTGTGCTTCCAGGAGCAAGACGTGGCGTCACACCCAGCCTATCAGGACGAGCTGCTGCTGCTATTGATTCTCTTGCACCCCGACCCTTCCAACCCCTGTCACCCCCCGCCCTTCCTCACTCGCTTCCAACCAATCAGAGCCTTTATTTGAGATTTCAGGAGCGTGATGTGGCACCACACCCAGCCTATCGGGACCACCTGCTGCTGCCGTTCGATCTCCATGCAACCTCCCACTTCTCCTTTCTCCCGATCAGGAAGCCGTTTTTGTTTTTCCAGTCAAGTGCGTCCCCTTCCCCTACCCTTCCCACCCCCCTTGCCCCCACACTCTCCCTCCCTTTTTGTCACGTACCTCTGCCAATCAGAGCCTTCACCTGCGATTCCAGGAGGGTGACGTGGCGCTACATCCAGCCTATCAGGACGAGCTGCTGCTGCTATTGATTCACTTGCACCCTTACCCTCCCACCCCCTGCTTCCCCCACCCTTCCTCACTCGCTTCCAACCAATCAGAGCCTTCATTTGAGATTTCAGGAGCGTGACGTGGCGCTACACCCAGCCTATCAGGACGAGCTGCTGCTGCTATTCGCGGGGGACATGCCACGTGTCCCGCAGCTATTCGTGCGCGGGCGGCACGTGGGCGGCACGGAGGCAGTGCTACAGTTGTACGAGGAAGGGGCGCTAGACGCCCTGGTCGTCTGGCTCAAGGCAGCGGGCGGCGGCGCGGCTAGTGCGCGGCGTAGTTTGTCTGTTAGTGCTGCTTCTGCTGCTGGTGCTGGTGGTGGTTCTTCTGTTGGTGCGGGTGGGAGTGTGTGTAGGGGTTGCGGGGACGCACGGTTTGTTCCCTGCAGCCATTGCCATGGAAGCAGGAAGGTAGCTTCTGGGGGTGGTGGTGCTGGTGGTGGGGTGGGTGGGTTTGTAGAGTGTGATGTGTGTAACGAGAATGGACTGACATTGTGTCATAGTTGTAATGGGGTGGCCAGATGAGTGTAGCTATTTTGCTTTACTACGATTCCCGTTAGAAGAAACATGTCTTTCTTTGTGCGCATTTTGCATTACAATCTGCACTGTACATGTGTACGGTACACTCCCCGTGTCGCATCACATCCGCAACCATGATTCGCACACATGCAAATGCCGACATTCATCTCATGTATCGAATTCGTTTTATTAAAGGCAACAGCCATGCTCAGCTGCTTTTAGGTAAGCAGCATAAGAATGTTGCAACACTATGTACAAATGATGGGACCACGACTAGCTTGTAACGGAACACATTGTATGGAGCTGTGTTGATGGTACTTTCACCACTCCGCTGCTTCCCTTCCCTCCCCTTGCACGAGTTCCCCTCCACTACTCTCCCCTCCTCCACTACCCTCCTCCACTACTCTCCCCTCCTCCACTACTCTCCCCTCACACCGATCCTCTTGTGCAACCTCACAGCCACATGCCTTGATCCCGCTCGCGCCTCTCTCCCTGCCTGCCTGCCGGTCTGCTGCACCACCCACTCCTCAAATGGCGTCCCCAGGAGCCACCAACTGGCCTGGGACATGGGCCTGCTCACAGCCACACGCCTTGCCCTCTGCCTACCTGCCTTGGCCTTGCCCCACCCGTGCCTGCCTGCCCGTCTGCTGCACCACCCACTCCTCAAATGGCGTGCCCAGTTTCCACCAGCTGGCAGTCCGCTTGGATGCATCCAGAACGCGCGGGCCCGGGGCGTGGGCTTGCTTGCATGCCTTTCTCTCTCTCTACCTACCCTTGCCTTTGCCCCAACCGAGTCTGCCTGTGCGTCTGCTGCACCACCCACTCCTCAAATGGCGTCCCCAGGAGCCACCAACTGGCCTGGGACATGGGCCTGCTCACAGCCACACGCCTTGCCCTCTGCCTACCTGCCTTGGCCTTGCCCCACCCGTGCCTGCCTGCCCGTCTGCTGCACCACCCACTCCTCAAATGGCGTGCCCAGTTTCCACCAGCTGGCAGTCCGCTTGGATGCATCCAGAACACGCAGGCCCGGGCGTGGGCTTGCTGGCAGACCTACAGCCTATTTTTCACCTGCCTGCCCCTCTCCCTGCCTGCCTGTGCGTCTGCTGCACCACCCACTCCTCAAACGGTGTGCCCAGGTTCCACCAGCTGGCAGTGCGCTTGGAAGCATCCAGAACGCGCGGGCCCGGCGCATGGGCTTGTCCCAGGGCGCTGTGGCGAATTCCGTATGCGAGGTAAACGAGTGCTCCTATGGCGAGCCACGAGGAGGAGTAGAGCCACGTGGTGGCACTGGGAGGTGGGAAGAGACAGGGGAGTTGGGGAACGACAGGGGAAGGTGATTGAGAGGAAGGGGAGATGAAAGAGGGCCCGGCGTGTGGGCCTGCCCCAGAGCACTGTGGCGGATTCTATATGCGAGGTAAACGAGTGCTCCTATAGCGAGCCACGAGGAGGAGTAGAGCCACGTGGTCGCACTGGATGGTAGGGAGTGGGGGGGAAGGAGAGCGAGGGGCGGGAGGAAGGCGAGAGACGTAAGAGGGCCCAGCGCGGGGGCTTGCCCGACAGCACTGTGGCTAGTTTTGGGTCGACTCAATACCCGGTGTGTGGGCTTGCCCCAGAGCACTATGGGCTTGCCCGACAGCACTATCGCAAGGTGACTTTTGAATCGACTCAAAAGTCACCTAGGGCCAAGCCTGTGGGCTTGCTCGACAGCACTATCTGGTTTTTGAGAATTCTCAAAAACCCGGCGCGTGGGCTTGCCCGACAGCACTATCGCGAATTCCGTTGGCGAGGTAAACGACCGAGTGGCTTTACTCCGGTGTGACGAGGATGCTGGCGAGGAGAAGGGAACCACACTCCCTCCCAGGGGCACTAGCACCGTGCTTGACTCTGCTTGACTCTGCTTGACTATGGTTGACTAGGGTTGACTCGTACCCACCCCATGTTCGCCATGAGATACACGCTGACGAGGATGCTGGCGAGGGGAACACCCAAGGGCACTGGCACCCTGCAAGAAGGGCGTTGACCCTGGTTGACCTTTGTTGACTTTCTTGACTTTGCTTGGCTCAGCTTGCATAAGCTTGACTTTCTTTACTTGCCCCCTCACCCCAGATTTGCGTTACGGTATGCCAGGAAAAAGATCTGCTTATGAGTCGACTCAAAAGCTGAGTCGACTCAAATGCGATAAGGTATACCTTGACAAGGATATGCTGGCAAGGAGTGCAAAGCAACAAAGCTTCAACAGACGCCAAAGGGTGGTCGAAAGCTAGTCCTAGGAAACGTTAAGAGTCACATAGAGCCATAAACAATCATGGAGAAAAGAATCCCGGTGCACTTCTGTAGCACGTTCGGCTACGTGTACAAGTGGAAGAGAGAACCTTATCAACCCTTCAGTAGCATGTACGTGTACGTTCGAACCCGCTACTGAAGTGCGCTGGGATCCTTTGCTCCATGCGCTGAATTTCAATGCCTCCATGCGACTCTTGAAGTTTTCGAGGACTAGCTTTCGATCACCCGTCAGCACCCATAAGCACCCTCTAGAACCCTGGGAGGAGGGCATGACTCTGGTTGACTCGTACTCACCCAGGATGGCCATGAGATACACGTTGACAACGATGCTGGCAAGGGGAAACCACAGCACTGGCACCCTAGGAGAAGGGTGTTGACTCTGCTTGACTCACTTTGACCTGCTCTCACTCACCCTAAATTGGCCATGAGGTAGACGTTGACCAGGATGCTGGCGAGGGGAAGCCACGGCACCCGGCATTGACTCTAATTGAAATGCTTGACTCTGTTGACCTGTGAGGCTTGTACTCACCCTAAATTGGCCATGAGATACACGTTGACCAGGATGCTGGCAAGGGGAAGCCACGGCACCCAGGGACAGTGGAACCCTGAGAGAGGGCGTTGACTCTGGTTGACTCTGGTTGATCTGGTTGACTCGTACTCACCCTAAATTGGCCATGAGATAGACGTTGACAAGGATGCTGGCAAGGGGAAGCCATGGCACCCAGGGACAGTGGAACCCTGGAGAGTGGTTTTTGTTCGAACAGGGAGTAGGGGTGGGAAAAAGGGGGAGGTGGAGGAAGAGTGGGAAAGGTCTATTTAGACGTCTGGGAAAGTTAAGGATACAGGAGAGGGGAAGGCACGGCAACAACGGACACTAGAACCCTGAAAGGTTGATAGTGAGTCAAACTTTTGAGAATTCTCGGAAGTGACTCATGGAATCTTGGAAAATTAAAATTTGAATTCGAGTGTGTAATCCGCCTCACCTCCTGCTGATCCGAACTGGTGCCTTCCTTCGTCCTCATTGATACATCCAAACGTTGCTGCCCCCCCGAGGAACAGTGCACCACCCAGAGAGAATAGTAGGAGAGGAAGCCAACTGGTGGGAGTGGGGACGGGAGAAGGAACAGAAGAAAGAAGAGAGAGGAGAGGATGGGGGACAGGAGAGAGGGTAGGTGACAGGGAGGAGGGTAGGGGACAGGGAGAGGGGGTGTGGTGGAGGAGACATGGGACAGTTGGCAAGGGAGAGAATTCAGCAGTAGTGGCAGCTGGCCTCTTGCGCCACTGTGCACAGGCGTTGCTATATTCATTAGAGAGATATGGATGTGTGTCTGCAGCATAACCTGTATTTCTTACCCTGACAAGCTGTGTAAAGAGGGGAAGCGTTACCACTCACTCTGAACTGGGACTGAACTGGGGAGGTCAGCAGAAGACGAAGCCACAGCAGCAGCATTGGCAGCAGAAGTGGCCACGGCAGCAGACGCTGGAAGGAGGAGAATCGTTACTCACTCTGAGAAGCTGTTTAGAAACGGGAAGCGTTGCAACTCACTCTGAAAGGTCAGCGGAAGACGAAGCCACAGCAGCAGCAGCGCCAAGCAGAGGGGCACCCAGGGAGACGGCAACGATGGCTCGAGAGGCCAGGCGTCTGTGCTGTGGGATGTGAGGCTGTGGAGAGGGGGGGGTGATTACTCACTTTGCTGTACTGGGGAGGTCAGCAGAATCCGCAGCAGCAGCAGCGGCCACCCCAAGGAGTGGGGCTCCCAGCGAGACAGCAACGATGGCTCGAGAGGCCAGGCGTCTGTGGGATGTGGGTGCAGTGGCGGCTGTAGCAGCTGTAGCGGCTGTAGCAGGACCTGTCACAGCAGGTGTGGCTGTAGCAGTGACTGTAGTAGGTGTGATAGCAGTGGGGTGAGCAGAATCCTGTTTCCTGACTCCTAGAGTGTTGCCCCCAGTGGCAATGTCAACGGCAGCTTCATCACCCATTCCCCTCGGTACTGTGGCATTGTATTCGGTGGAAAGGTTTGCTGTATGGTGCTGCTTCTCCTCTTCTCGCTCTTCCCCTCCCACCTCCTCCCCTTCCTCATCCCCTCCCTCTTCCTCACTCTCCTCCTCCTCCTCCCCTCTTCCGTCCTCCCTCTCCTCCTCATCCCCTCCCTCCTCCCCCTCCCCCTCTTCCGCCCTCTCTTCAAGCAATCGAGCCAGCAGTGGTGCTTGAAACGAGTTGGGCGTGAGGGAAAACACGGACTGCAGCTGGCCGTTGGATCGGATTTCAACGGCCGGAGATGTACCCAGGCTGTCCGGCGAGCCCATGTGCCTGAACACACTGGATTGGCCGACCGGGAGCGGGGAAGAGACAAAAAAACCCACCCCTGCGGCGGCAGTTGGAAGGGAGGATGTTATATACTGGGGTCGAGTGGGGGGAGAGAAGGTATAGGCTGGTAGGGGGCGGGAGGAGGAGGATGTGGGGTGGTAAAGCTGGTTGTTGGAGGAAGAAGAGGAGGAGGGGAGTGAAGGGGGGTGTGAGGAGGGGAGAGGGGTGGGAGGAGAGGAGGGAGGGGTGTAGCGAAGGATGAGGACTGAGAGGCTGACAGTGGTGAATGCGAGAAGGGTGCCCACACTGACCTGGTGTGGGCATGGGGGAGGCAGACAGGGAGAGAGGAGGAATGGAGGCGAAAGTGAGTGGAGGAGGATGGGAGAAAGAGTTTAGATCAAAGAAGGATGAGGAGTGAGAGGCTGACAGTTGTGAAGGCGAGGAGAGTGCCCACACTGACCTGGTGTGGGCATGGGTGGGGGGGAAAGGGGGATGGACAGGAGACGGTGATAATGAACGGTATTTGCAGTTGATGGGTATGTGCAGCGAAGGATGCGGACACTGACGGTGGTGAAGGCGAGGAGAGTGCCGACACTGACCTAGTGTTAGCATGGGGGAGGAAGACAGGGAGAGAGGAGTGCGAGAGAAAGGGAGGAGATGGGCAGATGATCAATCACTGAAGGATGAGGGCTGAGAGGCTGACAGTGGTGAATGCGAGGAGGGTTGGTTGGAAGGAAGAAGAGGGTAAGAATAGACAAGATGACTCTGAAAACCATGCCATGATTACGCCCCCCTCCTCACCATGGTCCCACTTAGCCCCCCTCCCGCCCCCTCTCCCACCACCCCCTTCCAACCCACCATGCCTGACAGCTGCCCGATATCCAGCACAAACGCCATGGCGGCGGCCAATAGCCCATGCGAGCTATGCTGCCCATGCATGCTCCCCATGCTGTGCATGCTCCCCATGCTGTGCATGCTCCCCATGCTGTGCATGCTCCCTATGCTGCCCATGCATGCTCCCCATGCTGCCCATGCTCATGTGATGAGACGATTTTTGAGTCGGCTCAAAAATCGACCGCACCCTACCCATGCTCCCCATGCTCGTCACATGTAAACGCCGCACGGAAAATCCTGCTCCTGTTCCCCCCTTCCCCCACGCACCATGCCTGACAGCTGCCCGATATCCAGCACGAACGCCATGGCGGCGGCCAATAGCCCGGTGACAGCTGTCGCGTTCTGAGGTACGCCCGTGGCCTTGTCGATGCGGCCAAACCAAGCTGGGAGGAGGCCGTCGCGAGCCATGACCATGAGTATGCGCGGCTGTGGGGGAGGGGGGAGAAGGGGGAAGGGGTGTGAGGAGGAGAGTGAGGCGCATCACAAATGGAACCAGGCAGGGAGGAGGCCGTCCCGCGCCATCACCATGAGGATGCGCGGCTGGGGAGGGGGGAGGGAGGGGAGTGTGTGGGTCATGTATGGGGAGTGTATATGGCGTGTGATGGAACCAGCAGGTGGAGATGCGACCAGCACCCGAAGCAGCAGGGACTCGAGCAATTATCCATACCAGACAAATGGGAAAAGTGCTTAAATCTATCAGATGCAAATAGGGGCAGCAGGTGAGATGCGCATGCATGGCACCTACCACCTGTCGTGAGATGCGCATGCATGGCACCTACCTGGGGCAGCAGGGATCCGAGGAGAGTGGTGGAGAGAGCTGCGAGCGCACCCCCTGTCACAAGGTACCTGCAATACAAGCACATGTGCGGTACAGGCACATTTAAGCTACGAGAACATGTGAGGCGTCTCAAAGTTGGAGAGAGCTGCAAGCGCACCCCCTGTTACAAGGTACCTGTGATACAAGCACAAGTAACATACGAACACGTGTGCTGCAGTACATGCAGATATGTCATATGCTATACAATCACGTATCTCGCGATTTGCACAGTTTCATCTCACACATATGAGGTGCATCCACTCGATGACTCTCTCACTCTCTTACACATATGCACACTCTCTCACTCTCTTACACATATGCACACTCTCTCACTCTCTTACACATATGCACACTCTCTCACTCACTCGCTTGACCCACTCTAGGTGGTACGTCTGGAACGCCTGAGATTTGAGGCAACACACTCTCTCACTCACTCCCTCACTCACACTGTCAATTACTCTCTCACGTCACTCCCTCACTCACTCTGTCCATCACCCTCTCACGTCACACTTTGCCCAGTGATGAAGTTGTACCACTCCATGGTGTCCAGGGCAAAGTGCCCAGTCCAGGTGGTACGTCTCGAAGGCCTGAGCCATGGGCGTGTCAGGGTCAATGCGGTCAAACGGAGTCGACCCCACCAGCATCACCACTCCCTCACACCCTCCCTCTCCCACTTACTTGGCCCAATCCAAATGGTAGGTGTCAAACGCCTGAGCCATGGGTGTGTCCGGGTCAATGCAGTCAAACGGAGTCAGCCCCACCAGCACCGCTGCTATCACCATGTAGAGAGCGCCACAGCAGGTAAGGGACAGGCCTATCCCCAAAGGCAGGTCGCGCTGAGGGTGCTTCACCTGCGTATAGGGAATCGGGGAAAGGGAATTGGGGAATAGACAAGCGTAAATATAGGCAGGTAGACCGTAGAGTGGCGATATCACCATGTAGAGAGCGCCACAGAGCGTCAGGGAAAGGCCTATGCCGAGAGGCAGGTCCCTCTGAGGATGCTTCACCTGTGTTTAGGGAATTGGGGAGGGGAGAGCTTTGGGAGGAAAGAAGAGGAGGGTTAGTGTGGGAAGGGAGAGTGCCGGTAGCTATGGTAGGACGAGTGTGGCCCTATCACCAGGTAGAGAGGGAGAGAGAGCTGCAGCACGTCAGCAACAGGCCTATTCCTTGAGGCAGGTCACGTTGAGTGTGCTTCATCTGTATCAAGCACGATATTCAAAGAATCAAATGCTAGCAAGCTGATTGAAGCCACACACGTACGTGAAATGGTGATAGTAGTGTTTTGAGACGTCTCAAAACACTCCTTCTTTCACGTGATAGTAGTGTTTTGAGACGTCTCAAAACACTCCTTCTTTCACGTGATAGTAGTGTTTTGAGACGTCTCAAAACACTCCTTCTTTCACGTGATAGTAGTGTTTTGAGACGTCTCAAAACACTCCTTCTTTCACGTGATAGTAGTGTTTTGAGACGTCTCAAAACACTCCTTCTTTCACGTGATAGTAGTGTTTTGAGACGTCTCAAAACACTCCTTCTTTCACGTGATAGTAGTGTTTTGAGACGTCTCAAAACACTCCTTCTTTCACGTGATAGTAGTGTTTTGAGACGTCTCAAAACACTCCTTCTTTCACGTGATAGTAGTGTTTTGAGACGTCTCAAAACACTCCTTCTTTCACGTGATAGTAGTGTTTTGAGACGTCTCAAAACACTCCTTCTTTCACGTGATAGTAGTGTTTTGAGACGTCTCAAAACACTCCTTCTTTCACGTGATAGTAGTGTTTTGAGACGTCTCAAAACACTCCTTCTTTCACGTGATAGTAGTGTTTTGAGACGTCTCAAAACACTCCTTCTTTCACGTGATAGTAGTGTTTTGAGACGTCTCAAAACACTCCTTCTTTCACGTGATAGTAGTGTTTTGAGACGTCTCAAAACACTCCTTCTTTCACGTGATAGTAGTGTTTTGAGACGTCTCAAAACACTCCTTCTTTCACGTGATAGTAGTGTTTTGAGACGTCTCAAAACACTCCTTCTTTCACGTGATAGTAGTGTTTTGAGACGTCTCAAAACACTCCTTCTTTCACGTGATAGTAGTGTTTTGAGACGTCTCAAAACACTCCTTCTTTCACGTGATAGTAGTGTTTTGAGACGTCTCAAAACACTCCTTCTTTCACGTGATAGTAGTGTTTTGAGACGTCTCAAAACACTCCTTCTTTCACGTGATAGTAGTGTTTTGAGACGTCTCAAAACACTCCTTCTTTCACGTGATAGTAGTGTTTTGAGACGTCTCAAAACACTCCTTCTTTCACGTGATAGTAGTGTTTTGAGACGTCTCAAAACACTCCTTCTTTCACGTGATAGTAGTGTTTTGAGACGTCTCAAAACACTCCTTCTTTCACGTGATAGTAGCCTACATATAATCAGCTGTGCTTTCACGAATGTCGGATGTGTCAGAACTAGAGCTTAGTATTCATGCACTAGTAATGAGCTCAAGGCTCTTTAAGTACATCGGAAATGGGCAAGGTAAGGATGGGGAGAGAATCGGGGGCAATCTTAGGGGATTGGGGGTAATCCCAAGGCAATCTCCAATTGGTGGGTTGGAGATTGCTTGGAGATCACATTTGGGTTTGGTTAGGATGTAAGTGTAGACCCAACCAAACACAATGTGCACACTACACTAAGATACTAAAGTGCAGGTACAAAATGTGAGATTGAGGGCTAACACTAACAGGATGATCCAGCGTAAGTCAAGAGATGTAAGAGAAAAATGCCATTGAGTTAACAGCTAGCATGCCATTAGTGCCCTCGAGTCACTTACCATGCCTCTTCTTCTGTGCTTGCAACAGTGTCAACTCAAATATAACGTGTGAAAAGAAGCAAGATCAAGTTCAATTCAGCATACATAGGCGAGTTCACTGTTCACTTAGCATACATAGGCGAGTTCACTGTTCACTTAGCATACATAGGCGAGTTCACTGTTCACTTAGCATACATAGGCGAGTTCACTGTTCACTTAGCATACATAGGCGAGTTCACTGTTCACTTAGCATACATAGGCGAGTTCACTGTTCACTTAGCATACATAGGCGAGTTCACTGTTCACTTAGCATACCTCTTCTGCTGTGCTGGCTACGGTGTCGAACCCAATGTACGAGAAAAATGCCATTGCAGCTCCCCCCAGCAATCCCGACACTCCGAATGGTAGATAGCTGGAATAGAAAAGGCGAGATGGGGGAGAAGCAGGGGAAGGAGGGCAAAACGAAAGCAAAGAAGGTAATCCCAGCTAGCATTCCAGGCACACCGAACGGTACATAAACTGGGATTGAGAGCAAAGATGGAAATGTAAGTGATTACACACCTTCTCAGGGAAATGAACAGCAAAGAAAAGTAAGAATTTTGCCACACGAGGGCTTGGAAACTCAGAAAGGAATGGTAAGGGTCTGAGTTTGCTTTAAGAGTTTAAATGAAAGGAAACATAACAGGGTTTTGAGATGACTCAAAACATGGAGACAGATGGAGGGGAGGTGAGGGCACATAGGGTCTGCATTCGAGTCAAAGGAAATGTAACAGGTTACCACCAACACAAAAAACCACAGCACAAGCACTCACAGCACAAGCACCCACAGCACAAGCACCCACATCAAAAGCACTCATCACAAGCACCCACATCCTCCCAAGATTACTGCATCATAATCACCCACCTTGGAGACTCCTTGTACCCCGGCCATCCGTAGGTAAACCCTATCCATGCCCCTGCCACTGCCACAAACAGCAGTATTATCACATTTGCTATTGTCATACCCATCTGGAAATTGGCGCTCTGCAAGGGCAAGAGCGGAAACGGACGAGAGGGATAGTGAACAGAAGCAGAATAGAGGGACACTTGAGTGAAGCAGTACAATCACAGGGTTAAATATCCAACAAACAAAGTACCCACTGTCCCAAGAATCGGAACTTGTTTCCTGTGCCGTCAAGCGAGGTTCAGGAAGGTGCTGAGCTGGCAGCCCGGCAGCCCGTCCCTGCTTCCAGGCTGCCAGCTCAGCACCTTCCTAAACCTCGCTTGACGGCGTAAGAGACACGTTCTTATTCTCAGGGTTGATTCCCTTGCCACCTTATCCTCATCTGGATATTGGCGCTCTGCAAGGCAAGAGCAGAAAGAGAGCGGAGGGATGTTGCAACGTAAGGAAGAAAAGAAAAGTGAAGAAAACAGACAGACACACGAACAGCACAATCACAATCGCTACTATCTTCCTCCTCCTGCGTCTTCTCCCCCTCTTCTGCCCCGAGCTCAAGCACTCAGCCAACGTCTTTTCAATCCATTGCTAGAGCGGCGGTTTCTGAACGGCTCAAGTGCCTTGTGTTGTTGCACTGCTTAGGATTGGAGGAGGAGGAGTGGATCGGACTGCTTGCCGTCTGAGCTAAGTTGGAGGAGCTTAGGGTTCAACTGAATGACAAATTTTCAGATGAAGCGGTGGCGAGAAGCAGACTGGATGCGCTCACTAGATTCACAGTCAAACTAGTGAGCGCATCCAGTCTGCTTCTTGCCACCGCTTCATCTCAAAAGTTGTCATTCCGTTGAACCCTAAGCTCCTCCAACTTAGCACAGACGGCAAGTAGTTCGATCCACTCCTCCACCTCCTCATCGAGAAATTGACACTTTGTTATGAAGAGAAACAAAAGAGAGGGAAGTTAAACAAAAGAGAGGATACTGAACAAAAGACGGTTAGAGCCCACGTAAAACATACTCACAAACTCACACCCCAGGTGGCGCTCTGCCTCATATTCGTGAACGCAGCTACCTGATGCCGGCAGACAGCAGCGCAGTGACGAGAGCCACCATAAAGGCAGCACACGGAGGGATCCAACACTATAGTCAGTCAACGCACCTCTTTAATGCCGGCAGACAGCAGTACCGTCAAAGCAGCCACCATGATGGCAGCGCACGGATCCAACACTATCATGGTGCCTGGGATGGGTAGGCGAGCCATCCTCCCACGTGTTGCCCTAAAACATACCTCTCAGACTCACGCCAATACAATCACACACCTCAGCAGTACCGTCTTCGCAGCCACCATGAATGCAGCACACGGATCCAACACTACAGTGGTGCCTGGGACTGGTCAGTCAACGCACCTCCTTTATGCCGGCAGACAGCAGTGCCGTCACCGCAGCCACCATGAGGGCAGCGCACGGATCCAACACTACAGTGGTGCCTGGGACTGGTCAGTCAACGCACCTCTTTAATGCCGGCAGACAGCAGTGCCGTCACCGCAGCCACCATGAGGGCAGCGCACGGATCCAACACTACAGTGGTGCCTGGGACAGGAAGGCGGGCAAGGATGAATGGCAAGCTGTCCGCCCCTCCCAACGCCGTTGCCTGAACAGGTGGTTGGGGGGCGTGGGGAAGTATGTGAGAGACGATAGAATGAATTAGGGAACGTATAGGCATCTATGGAAAACAAGACAGGTAGGCGGGCCGGAGTTGAGTTGAGACAAGGCGTGCTCTCTGTCTGTTGGTCTGTCTGTTCGTTTTTACAAGGGTTAAGAAATGAGTCATGAAAGGACGCTACAAGATTGCATGCATGCATAGCTGAATGCACGAAACATCCCCAACACTTGCAAAATCGCCCCTGATTGTGCAGAATTACCAGGTTCGGTGAAATGCCTCGAGCCACTGCTGCTCCACCCACGGTGTACTCGAGAATGAGCGCCCAGCCGATGAGCCATGCCACCCTGGTGACAGCAGCGAGGGGGGATAACAGAGAGACGCATTGAGAATTGCACAGATCGTGTGAATGAAGAATGCCTCGAGCCGAGCCACTGCTGCCCCACCCACGGTATACTCTAGAATGAGAGTCCAGCCGATCAGCCATGCCACCCTGATGGAGTCAGCAAGAGGGGACAACAGAGAGACGGTTGAAGTTGACTCACAAGTCAAAGATGCATTGACTGTGCAACACTCCTCGAGCCACTGCCACCCCACCAATGGAGTAATCAACTTCAATCACACTTCCCCCAACCCCACTCGCACTTCCCCCAACCCCACTCACACTTCCCCAACAGTCGTATATGCATAGTGGTAGGCACTCCCAGCGGACGGGCAGCGACTGGCAAATTCGGCAGCAGAAAGCAGCCAAGCCCGCCGCCACGCCTGCTATGGTGGTGGAACCATCTACAACACTACCACACCCCCCAAGCACACTCACACTTCCCCGACGGTTGTGTAGGCGTAGTGATAATCTCTCCCAGCGGACGGGCAGCAACTGGCAAGTTCGGCGCAGCAGAGAGCAGCCAAGCCCGCCGCCACGCCTGGTATGAGGAAGGAGAGTCATCTAGGCGCCTGCACTTACACCTTTCCAGTCCCTGCTACCCAACCCACTCACACTTCGCCCACAGTTGCGTAAGCATAGTGATATGCACTGCCAGTGGACGGGCAGCGACTGGCGAGCTCAGCATAGCAGAGAGTAGCAAAACCCGCAGCCACAGTGATTCTACGTCTCTCCCACACCCCTCAAGCACACTCACACTTCTCCAACTGTCGTGAAAGCGTAGTGGTAGGCACTCCCAGCAGAGGGACACTGGCTGGCGAGCTCAGCATAGCAGAGAGCAGCCAAGCTCGCAGCCACTCTTGCTATGACACTGAACCAGAGCGTGTTTTTTGAGAATTCTCAAAAAACACGTCTTGCTATGATACTCAACCATCTTCCACCTCCACACCCCCAAAAACACACTCACACTTCCCTCACGGTGGTGTATGAATAGTGGTAAGCACTGCCAGCAGAAGGGCAACGACTGGCGAGCTCAGCATAGCAGAGAGCAGCCAAGCCCGCCGCCACAGTGATTCTACAGCTCTAACACACCCCCCAAGCACACTCACACTTCTCTGACTGTCGTGTAAGCGTAGTGATAAGCACTCCCAGCAGAGGGACACCGACTGGCGAGCTCAGCGTAGCAGAGAGCAGCCAAGCCCGCCGCCACGCCTGCTATGAGGAGGAAGGTGAATCGCCTGCATAACGGCCTGCACTACACCTTCCGCATTCCCCCATACCACTCACACACACTCACACTTCCCCAACAGTCGTGTACGCGTAGTGATAGGCACTCCCAGCGGACGGGCAGCGACTGGCGAGCTCAGCGTAGCAGAGAGCAGCCAAGCCCGCCGCCACGCCTGCTATGAGGAAGGAGACGGGCAGCGCCGGTCCGGCCTTCTCCCGTGCCACTGTGCCAATGAGAACGTACACTCCCGCGCCTATGGTCGACCCCACTCCTGTTGTAGGTGCGGGAGAGAGGTGCAAGGGAGTGGTAAGTGTTGTAGGGGCAGAATCTGGAGCTGCCTGCTATGGGGAAGGAGAAGGGCAGCGCACCCCGGCCCTTCTCCCGTGCCACGGTGCGTTATGGTTGACCTCACCCCTGTGGTGGGTGGGTGGGATGGGATGGGATGGGATGGGATGGGATGGGATGGGATGGGATGGGATGGGATGGGACGGCATGGGGTGGGACGGGACGGGGCGGGACGGGATGGGATGGGATGGGATGGGATGGGATGGGATTGGATTAGACCAGATAGGATATGATTGGATGGGATAAAATAGGATAGGAGATGGGATCGGATCCGATGGTGTAGGATGGGATGTGGTGTGATCAGGGTGTGACCCCGCCAGGCCGTTAGGCACGCGAGCACTCGTCTTAGAAAACGCCCGGATATCGGATCAGATCAAGCTCAGATCGTACCGAGTAGGGGAGTGGTTTGGAAGCGGAGACTTGCTCCTAGACTGGTTCAGACGGGATGGCTGGGGTCGGACGGGACGTAGTGGAAAGTAGCGCAAGCATGCTCGTTGTCTCAGCAGATCTCCGTTTGGAAATCCGGACCGTGACGGCCTGAAGCGCACCTAGTGGGATGGAGTCAAGCGTAATTACCGGGATGGAATAAGGCGTACCTAGCGGGATGAGCTGCCAGAACGTGAGGCACTTCGGAAGCGGCGCCGCCATGAGGTTCGTATGCGACTGAGAGTGCTTCAATCGGAACATCCCTCCCCACGAATTATGCCGGGTAAACCCCCCTCGCCTTGTAGTACCCGATCCTCCGCCATTCCCCGCTCCTCCGCGTTCCCCGCCGGATTCCTGAATCCTACGGTAGCCGGAATCGTGGATCTGCGGTTGAGATCCCCATTGGGGGGATGGATGGTGCGGATACGCGCCACCAGCGCCAGTTCGATCTGACGGTTGAGAACTCCCGAGGGGAGTCCCACCGTGATGATCTAGAAAACCTCCACGGCGATCCATGCTGACCGATGCCTGTCCGCAAAAAAGTATCGGAGCGTACTCGTTACAAGAATTAAGCTCCTATCGGTGCATGGACTAAGCCCATAGGAGTTACTTTCCCACCATGATGCGCACAATCTGAAACAGCTTTGAATGCGGAGCGATTTCTATCAATCTAGTTGTGCGGCTGGCGGCGCGTGAAGCTACACGTCGATCAGAACAGCTTATAATTGAAAACTCCCATTCTACGGCTGTCTCGCGACTCGTTCAAACGCGGCTATCTCCTGCCAGCGGGTGTGGTAAAGTAACCGACACAGTAAAGCGTGTCAATATGCTGGCGTGTCAAGAAGAGGTAGGTGCCAGCGCTAGCGGTTTCGGTTACACCAAGCAGGAGCTCCCTGCTGCTAAAGAGGCAGTGGCTTGTTCCACCGTTCGAAACGTCTCATTTCTCTGGTCTAGTTTCCATCGAGCTTGTCAGGAGAAGGATTTTGTCGCGCGATTGACGGGGAAACTGAAGTCGTTGTCGGAAATTTGAACAGAAAAGGTTGGAGCTTGTACGTGGCACGCGAAATCATATTGGCCCTGTTCGACAGGCTAACACCGACGGCCGCGGAATCCTCGCAGCTCTTTCGTTTTCACATTTTTTCCCACGGTCAGCCCGTAAAATGCGCAATTGGGGCATTAGCCCCCGCTAACCTGTTGGCAGAGTGTTAGCCTGTCGAACGCATCCGATAATTGACCCCTTCGCCCTCTCAGAAAGAACCGCGAGCCTTCCCGCACTGGCAAAGGTCTAGTCCTCGCCTAGCCTAACCCTCGCCACACAAAAGTGGGGTTTGCCAAAGGGCTCGCCAAGTGTTTGCAGTGGGGGAAACACCCACTCCCTGGACTCTAAAATGGGTCCTTGTGAACCCGTTTGGGCGGAAAAATCCTTGTGAGGCGAGCGATTTGTGGAGAAGGCCTTTTTTTTTTTTTTTTTTTCCCGCGATGTTACCCAGACCCCTTTGGAAAGCGGCCCAGACTATTCTACTGTGCCCGCCAAAAGGCAGGTTGAAGGGGGCGGGCAGCTTCGCCTAGTGGGCCCCGCTCCTTCTGGCTACTCACGAAGCTTCAGCGGTCGATCAGCTCGGAGAAGGTGCGGTGAGCCCTCCTCTTAACACTAACCTAACACTAACACTTTGCAGAGTGTTAGCCTGTCGAGCAGGGCCTTGAGTCAGCACGCTGGGAGCTTCCTTGCTGGACAACTGGAGAAGCATGTGTTTTCGAGGGTTTCTGATTGGTGGTTATGCCACATCAGCGTCGAGACACAATGCCATGCCACCCAAGTCTGCGTCAACGACACGAATGCATGACTCAACGCGTTCCTGGGCCACCAAACCCGATTAGACACGATTCGATTCAGCTGCGGCTGATTGGTAGAACACGGAACATATATTCATGGCATTCAAGTTCGATATACAGATAATATTTCATTCAAGGTGTACGTGAACGCAATCAGGGGGAATACATCTGACAGTGATAAAGATTCTCCTTCAGCCTCCGTACATTCCCAATCCTGACTGCAGCTCCAACTTGTGAAGAGTTGCTGGTGGAATAGAATCTCGGGATTATCACAAGCAAGAAACAAGGGTGAGAAAGTAGGGTTAGCAAATCTTGAAACTGTTACGAAAGGTTACTGATGACTGAAAACATGAAAGCCAGAGCCAGAATCAGTCTCCCTGCCTGCACACATGTCAGCACCCAAGGGTAAGACTGGCTAGTGCAAGCTTTCCATGTTTTGAGATGTGTCGATTTCCTAAAGCTGCAAATGTGAGGGCTTGACAAAGCCTGTAAAATGTGGGTCCCACAGTCTCCCAGCCTGTGCATGACTGAGCACAGCACAGGACAGGAAACGGCAGGAAACCGGCTTGACTCAGTCATTCAAATGTGGGTCCCACAGTCTCCCAGCCTGTGCATGACTGAGCACAGGAGAGCGCCTTTGGTACAGCAGGACCCAATTCCCATCCCTGCCACTGCCGCCCATTGCTCCTCTCGCTCGTGCATGCCGTGTGGCACACAGAGAGAACGAGAGCACAAGTGATGGCCGTGACTGAGAGGGGTGCTGCTGATATGGGAGAGGTTGCGAGCGTGGAGCATGGGAAGCTTCCGAACATGCCACTGGGGCCCTCTCCGAAGGGATAGATGGGCAAACAGCGGGATGGACAGACGGATGGGCGGTCAGAGAGGGGAGTGGACGGACGGACAGCGGACGGTCAGCTGACAGACAGTGGGGCGGACAAGGAGGGAACCATGGAGTAGCAGAGTAGAACTAAAGTACGCACACATGGGTGTTTTGAGCATTCATCTAGACTTATACGCACTCAAATACACTTCTACTCGTTGGACAATCAAGCTTCATTCAACAATTCAACAGGAGGGGTAAGAAACCTGCGGGAGAGGATCAATCAGATCAGCCAGCTGTGCTTTTGAGTCGACTCAAATCTCGACCCAAGATTAAACAATTGAGCAGGAGGGGTCAGACACTCTGGCCGGAGAGGACCAATCAGATCAGCCAGCTGAGTCTGTGGCCAGCAACCAATCAGAGCAGAGGCAGAGACAGAGAAAGTCAAGAGAGGAGGAAGGGGATTGAGAATGAGAGAGATTGAACGAGAAAAATACTTCCCGTTCCCTCCCATGCCCCCTGTCTTCCGACCCTGAAACCTGCTGTCCGTTGCTCCTGTCTGCTTGGACACATGGCTGCAAACACGGCCGGTGATGGTCAGAATAAGTAGCTTTCATCATTCCCCTCTGCCATTCAGTAATCGATTCATTGATTCAGGTATTTATAATAATTCATAAAAGATCGCATATACGCTTTAGAGGCGCACTTACAGAAGCGCCAAGGGAAAGGGTTGCAATAAGGAGGACATCGAGTAAGAGGATAAACAAAAAGTCACAGCAGGAAAGTGGGCGAATGCAAAGGGGGCCAAAAGAACAAGCTCCTACATTGACTCAATAGACATCATGAAATTCGATGCTTGTGCATGTTCAGAGAGCAAACGGAGCGAAGTCAACAGGTGAACTTCAGAGACGACTCGTATGTCATGACAGGCGGGTGGGCGAAAAACAAGGGGGCAAAAAAAGAGGTGCCGAAGGGCCGAGTTCAATAGGTGAACTCGCTAATAAACCAATCATATAAGCTCAGAAACATGTGTATGTTTTAAAGGCGCCCTTATGATAAGGGCTAGAGGGATCAGGGACGGTTGATTTTTGGTAGCCAATCACAGCACGCAACGGCTCGCCACCACCAGCCAATCAGAGCAGAGGCAGAGACAGCGAGGCTCAAGAAGCAAAGGAGCGCCTGGGAGAGTGATCAAACAAGGAAAGTCTTCCTGTTCTCTTCCCCCTGTGCTCCTCTCCACTCCCTTGAACCTCTCTGCCTGCTGCGTGCTGCTGAATGAACAGGAGGCAGCGATGAGCGGCCAATACATGACTCAGATGGGGTCGATTTCCATCATTTCCCTCTGTAGTTCAATTCTGAAGCTCAATTCTGAAGTTCAATTCTCGAGCAAGCTTGTGCAGCAACATGCGACTGCTTTGGCATGCTGCTGAATGAACAGGAGGCAGCGAGGGCGGCCAATACATGACTCAGATGGGGTCAATTTCCATCATTTCCCTCTGAAGTTCAGCTCTCCAGTTAGCTTGTGTGGCAACATGCCACTGCTTTGACTGATTGGTATTAGGAACTGAAAGCAAAAGAGAGGAACGAGAGCATGAAAGAGTTAGAACGAAAAACTCCTTCCAGTTTGCTCTCTCGCCGCTTCCCAGAGGATGGGCGAAATTACAGGGAGAATAGAGACCAAGTTCGCTTTTGAGTCGACTCAAAAGGAGAATAGAGACCAAGTTCGCTTTTGAGTCGACTCAAAAGGAGAATAGAGACCAAGTTCGCTTTTGAGTCGACTCAAAAGGAGAATAGAGACCAAGTTCGCTTTTGAGTCGACTCAAAAGGAGAATAGAGACCAAGTTCGCTTTTGAGTCGACTCAAAAGGAGAATAGAGACCAAGTTCGCTTTTGAGTCGACTCAAAAGGAGAATAGAGACCAAGTTCGCTTTTGAGTCGACTCAAAAGGAGAATAGAGACCAAGTTCGCTTTTGAGTCGACTCAAAAGGAGAATAGAGACCAAGTTCGCTTTTGAGTCGACTCAAAAGGAGAATAGAGACCAAGTTCGCTTTTGAGTCGACTCAAAAGGAGAATAGAGACCAAGTTCGCTTTTGAGTCGACTCAAAAGGAGAATAGAGACCAAGTTCGCTTTTGAGTCGACTCAAAAGGAGAATAGAGACCAAGTTCGCTTTTGAGTCGACTCAAAAGGAGAATAGAGACCAAGTTCGCTTTTGAGTCGACTCAAAAGGAGAATAGAGACCAAGTTCGCTTTTGAGTCGACTCAAAAGGAGAATAGAGACCAAGTTCGCTTTTGAGTCGACTCAAAAGGAGAATAGAGACCAAGTTCGCTTTTGAGTCGACTCAAAAGGAGAATAGAGACCAAGTTCGCTTTTGAGTCGACTCAAAAGGAGAATAGAGACCAAGTTCGCTTTTGAGTCGACTCAAAAGGAGAATAGAGACCAAGTTCGCTTTTGAGTCGACTCAAAAGGAGAATAGAGACCAAGTTCGCTTTTGAGTCGACTCAAAAGGAGAATAGAGACCAAGTTCGCTTTTGAGTCGACTCAAAAGGAGAATAGAGACCAAGTTCGCTT